GTATATTTGATATTTTTGTTCACAAGAAAATCTACACCCTCCAGATGGTCGTTAACTTCGGATATTTTCTGGTATCGTATGTGCCTTGAGTTTAATGCGGTGGTCTTTTCGCAGGGTAAACTTGTTTCGGACAGTCCAATGATGTGCCACTTGATGTATTCCAGTTCGTGTTCTAACTCATCTAAGTGCTCATCGGTTCTAGTTGTTCGTATATTGTAAATCGCGATTAGTAGTTCTTTCCTTGATTCTTTCCTTGTTTTTTTCCTGGACATTGTATTGGTGGAATTTTGCCCTCACCAGAATCCGAAGGGCGGACTGCCGAGTCAGTGTGAGATTTCGACGGTACGAACGGGACGAATAATGGTAGCCCTCTACTCACCCGAGGTATGTTTGTTTTAAAATTCGTCATTTCATTGTTGTTGTGGAGGTTTTGGCAATTAAGACGCTTCTCTTGCCCTGGAATGTATATGGGGGTGAATTTGGATCTTTTCGTTTAGCACCGGGGGTGTCTTCAGCTTCTTGCTCGTTTAGTATTTGGAACTGATTGCTCAGAGATATGTTTAGGTGTCGTTTCTTGTTGGTTTCCTCGGTTGAACTATTGGGGTTAGATCTCTGTCGCTTGCTTGTTTTAAGTGTTTGCAATACATTTATTTCAGAGCGGGTTAATTTCAATGCAGATTCTTGAAATGCACTAGTTAATGTGTTGTCGGCTAGTGTTTGTGGTGTAAGGTTGAAATCTCTTTCATTTTCTTCGATATTCGAACTAAGCTACTAAACTGAATTGTTTAGTTGGTTAAAACGCCAGAATCAGTTTGGTTTATCGCCGTGGAAGTGTAAAAATGGATAAAAAAATAACAAGTTGCGGAATTCACTGGGGCACTAGCACGACCTATCGATTCACTGGTCGATAGACGAATGAGAAGGAACAATGAAACCATATATTTTATATCACCATTTATATATTACAAGCATTCGGATACATTATCAATGGGATTTATTTTTCGAAAGGAATGCACTTGCAGTCAATAACGATATTATACAAGTAGGCTACCCAGTTTTCTTTCAGTGATTTTGGTAAATTAGGATTCTTTAACAGTCGAAAATCTTCACTAAGCTCGTCTTTCGAGTCGCGCCTTCTCAACACCGTGATTTTGTATCCTTTCGGTTGACAAAGATGACGATCCCCGCAAGTGCCCGGCTTGCATATTCCACTGTGAGCATATCTGTTGGAAAAAAATTGGTTATTTTAAATATGTGGGTTGGAAGGTTGAAGAATGCAAACATGTAATTCACAAAAAACAACTACTGCCTAAAATATTTTGAATAAAGGGATGGTTTGGAATTTTAAATTAATTTATTTCTTCTGCAGCTTATGAAGAGACTTTACTTGTGTGTTTTATTTATTAAAAATTTCAGCTTTTTAATATCAATCTTTTTTAGTTTACTTCTCTTCATCTCAGCTTTCTTTTGTAAATAGCATGAATTCCCCAAAACAAAAGGTTTAATGCTTCCATTCACATGTTCTTTAAGTTTACATTTTTTGGGGTTCGAGTAGTCAGCTTAAACCTTGGTAAACTTTCGAAACTGAAGATTTGTTCTTTTGTGTAAAAATGCGCATTAAAACATTTAATTAAATATGCAAAGATAATAACAAAAATGAGTCAACCAATATAAATTTCGAAAACAGAGTGGATAATGCTGAAAAAAAACTTGGGTGAACAGTTTGAACATTCAATTAAGAGTTTTAATTCCTGGAAGTTTTTTTTTGATGATTTGGTTAACAAGTTCGACCGTTTAACGGTCAAATTCTTTTGATGAACTGAACAATTTAAAACTGTCTGTTCAGATTCTGCTACTTGCTCCTTTCTGAATTTTTTGTTTCACTTTTAACTGTAAACTTTTGAAAATGCAACTAATTGGACTTACCTGGGATAAATACTGTTGCCAAAATCCACAAGCCCGAAAATAACTTCACAGGGACACGGAAACGGGGTCGAAGAAATCCTTTTGCTCTTCGATTTCTGCAATATTCAAATTACTCAATTTTGCCTGGTCAGTTTCCCCACCGATTAAGTTCTTACATAATTTTTGCTGCGTCTTCTGTCGACAGCAAAATTGAATAAGTTTGCCAGATCGGTATCGTAATTTCGATAACACTTGCTGTTCACCTCGTTCAAACAGTCAGTTTGGGGAAAATTGTCATCGAAATTTGAAATTCTACTGTCTTCTCTGCATGCCACAACGTAAAAAAGTTTGAATTTTGATAAATGCGCCAGAAGCATTAAGTAGGCGATCTGCAACCAGAAAACTGATTAGTTACAGGTTGGCTCATTTTGGTCAAATAAAATTCGATCCATTTAGTAGCTGTTTTATTAGCAAGTTAGATAAAGACAAAGAAAAACGCAAAGGCCGTAGTCATTTTTAATAGAGACGCACAAGAGTGAAGACAAAGCAAAAATCAAAGCAAAATGAAAAAAGTGTCCACGAAAGTCGCAATTTTTTTTGTAAAATGACAAGGATATCGGAATGAAAACCTAATGCAAAACGACTAAATAAAGAAATGAAAAATATTTAAATAAAACTAGATACGAAAACGCACAGCAATATAAGGAAATTTTGAGAGGAGGCTGGGTAGATGTAAATCTGATGTACTTTAAACAACTCATTGAAAAAATCATCCACAATTTGCTACTTCAAACATGGAGTTTCATCAGAAATAAGTCAACGTTACGTTTGGTAATTTAAGCAATCAGAAAAAATTGAAATTGACTGTACTTTTGATAATTTTCGTAGAATATCTAAACAGGAAAGTAATCCTTTAAACAGACAAACTACTGTGGTAACTGTAACATGAACGTTCTTATAATTAAATACATTTTACGAGCAATTTCAAAACCGTTTGCAAGAAATGATACTCACCCTATAACGGAAAGTCATGCTCAAACAAGTCAGTCTTTAAAATGCACGAACTAAAACAAGCACAACCCTTTCAAGTCCAGCCTGGTAGCATGCAGAGAACTATGGATTCAGCTCGAGGGTTAATGCTTTTATAGAAAATAATTAAGCAGATTTTTTGCCAGTTACTTAAGCTGTCGATATTATTTTGATATAGGATGAGAGTGGCTCGGATTTCCTTTAGAAATCCGCGCAACGTTCATTGTATTGTTTCATGTGGGTAAGACAAGGCAACTTGAAGAGGAAAAAACGAGATGACCTCAGTCTACTGGCAATTACATCAGAGCCGCATAGAGACATGAAATGGACTTGTTGAACCCTACATGTCTATTTTTACAAACGTAAAATTGATTGAGGCGACAGGGTCCAAAACTGTATGGGAAATCCAGCATATCTTACCCGAAGCATGAGCAAACTTACTACCTTGCCACTTGAGGTGTGTATTTCGCTTTGCAATTTTGGACAAAAATATTCAATGCTGCATATTTTACTAAGAAAATCTGAGAATGCAAAGAAAAAATAATGGGGTGAAGTTTTATTACAGTTGAATCACTCGGAAGTCGCATGGAGTATTTAATTGACATTTTGTGAATAACTAAACATCGTTGTTAAACAAAAAAGATTCGAGGACATTTCTTAAAATAGCATTATGCAGCTGAACTATTTTGTTTCATCTGCAAAGATCAGAAAGAGTTTACATTTATTTCAGTTTCTGGTCCTCCAAACTGGTAGCCGGCGCAGTTGGTAGGATCGCACCATCAAACCGACACTCTTGACCGTCCAATTACTCTTTTCGAAGTGGAAGCAAGTGATAGACATATAATTCACATCTAGGCATCAACAACAAAAATTTCCGAAAGACGGACAAATAAATTTGAAAAACACCGCAAAAAGACACAAATTTTAAGTAACGCAAATACAAAAACTGAACATCGTTTTTGAGAGTTTCAGTACGAAAGTCTGAGGTCTAAAACTGTGTATAAATATTAGGAAAATAACTAACAGTGGTAAATAAAGATTATTATATATAAAGATTAAAGGTTATTAAGACTAGATTACTAGTATTGTTCCGGAAAAAAATAGGAGAACTGTATAAAACTTATAGAAAACCACGAAATAAAAAAAATATTTGCCATAGTTTTTTTGTAAAGTATCAAGCCCAAATGAGAAATGAATTATTTGTATCAATTGTTGATTAGCGGTTGTAATTTTTTTGCGAACGAAATTTGGATGAGGGACGAAATGATATCATTAACGACAGAAAAATGACGATATAAAAATTAAAATGCCTCGAAGTATCAATCGCTTAACAGCACGAGCAAAAGTAAAATGAAAAGGGCGAATAAAAGATTGAAGGAAGTGGCTAAGAATGAAATTAAACAGCTGGATAAACAACATGATATGTTTAAGTAGTTTATATGACAAGGCAAAAGAAGCTGCAGAAATAATTTCAAAAATTGTATCCATTGTAATTATAAGTAAAAATGGGAAAACACCAAGCAAAAAAATTTACGAATTTATACAGACATGTATTCAAAGCCATCGATAGCTGAAACAGAGCTCAAACAGAGATTAGAATAACTGCAAATTAGCAAACCATACGATCCAGGCGAAATAGCTGGGTAGATTTTGAAATCTATTCGAAAAACGGTTTAATAATTATTCAATGTCTTCATTAATATTCTCATGTGGGTCTTGCAGGCAAAGCAGGACCAACGAAGTTTAAATGAAACTTATGAGGAAAATTGGAAATGTATGAATGATCCGATACCTGGGACACCTACATCTCCGGACTTGACCCCACTGGACTTTTTCTTGTAGGAATCCATTTGATTTTGGTTATAGGTAGAGAAATATTGCGTTCTATTGCAAAGTTGCAGTGCGAAAAATGAAGATACAGTTGGAGGATATTTCACCACTGCAGTCGAGGTTAGCTCAGACGCGTTCTTAAGGAAAATTTGCTTGCAAATGCAAAGATTATCCCAAAAATATTGTCATAGCTATTTCAACACAATACAAAATCCTCAAAAACACTCAAACAAGACTTTTGCCAATACACTTTTTAATAGCCACGCAGCAAATCTACAGATGGACGATTGTTAACTTCAAAATTCTACTCCTCCAGCCGCTGCCTGCAATTTATGGTCTATGTGTAGTGGGCTTTGGACGACCTGGCTTTGGCTTCGCAGGACCTGGTTTTGGCTTTGGAGGTGCATGTTTGGGCGTAGTTGGCTTCGGATGACCTGGTTTTGGTTTCGGAGGTGTCTGTTTTGGTGTTGTTGGCTTTGGATGACCTGGTTGGGGCTTCGAAGTACCAGGGTTTGGCTTTGGAGGTGCTGGTTTTGGCGTTGTTGGCTTTAGGGGATCTGGTTTTGCACTTGGTGGTGCTGTAATTGGAGGTGGCCCGCTTGGTATTGGTGGTTTTTCTTCGTCCGGGCATAGCGAAAGCAGCTTGCACAATAGATCTAGTGGACTCCCTTTTGCCTATCACAAGGAAACATGTTAAACAGTCGAGTATATTAAAGCTGAAACTTGCCTTACCAGATCAAACGCAAAAGGAGTCGCAGACGTTTCCGGTATTCCAGCCATTAGCAGGCCTCCAATAAATACCACACATAGCAGTGCAACCTTTTGAAGCATTTTGGGAGATTTTGGAAGTGCAATTTACCCGTTCGTTTAAATACTATTGCAGCCTGAATGTTTCTGATTAAAAATCTGAGCCGGATTAAGTCAATTTGTAAGCATTCACAAAAGTTTTCTCTTGGTTTCAAGTTCCCTTCCAAGGAATTGGTTTCATCCTCCAAGTAGGAACGTTGATATAGATTTTGGCTAACAAATTATGTGAATTTGCTTCAGGTGATCTAAGAAAGTTAATTTAAGGTGAATCTGCTGAGTTAGGGCCTTGAAAACGGTTGCGTCCCAGGTAATGTTCCTACGTGCTAAATACCCCATTAAAATTAGTAGATTTGCACATGTTAACCTAATTGCTAAATCACGGCTTAATTCGGATCTGGCAAGATTCCAGATATTTTGGCCTGTGTAAACGCAACAGAAACATTTCAGTCAAGTTCACAATGACCCTTTCTTCAAAGCCCGTTCTCGCGTCCAATGGATAAGAGAGCCAAACGGAGTAATTGATTGGCTCCATTTGATTCAGTTGGTTTTCAGCTGAATTGAAACTGATTAAAGACGTGGAAAATAGTAACTGAAAAAGACAAGAATGGTTTTTGGGTCGTAATCTGAGCCTCAAACAGAGGCAGTATCAGCGGAGATCATCGCAAGAAAAATGTAAAAGAGTGCTTTGCTAATTAAAATCACTTCTGCGTTTCCTATTTTTCTTCGATTTAGATATTTGCTTCTTCTATCCAACAATACTTTTATTTATATTATTTTGTCGCGGAGAGATTGCTGTATTTTGTGTATGCGGTTTTTGATTCTAAATAAAGGTTGCAAAATCAGAAAAGTACATTTTTTGTCGTTTTAATTCAATTTCTTTAGTGTTAGTAAATACCCAAACCGTTTTGCTTCGTTCTTCTTCAAATGGAAGATTGACAAATTAATTGAGCTTAGGTTTCCAATTTGAGTTTGAAAACGCATTGGAAGGACCAGCCAGAAATAATCGAATGCAAATTTATACACATATATTCAAAACATACTAATCGCTCTATGCAAGTTCGTGTACCATGTTTGATTGGATTTTGTTGAAAAAATTTAAACTTGAAACAATTGAAAAATTTATTAGAATAAGCTGCTGAAGAAGTTGAAAAGTTTCTCTAAATCTCCAACAGCCACGATATGGCTTTTCCATGAGTATAGAAAGAAGCAAACACATTAACAAAAACATTAAGCTAGACTTTGAAAAAAACCAAATGATTGAACAGATGATATAAAATCGAAAATGCAATTAGCTCTAAAAAAGCGACTACAGAAGTTGCAGAAGAATGAAGAGCAAATATTATATAAATTTATATTAATTTTCTAGTTCAGGTTCAAGAGCTTTTATTCCTACTGCTAAAAAATTTCAATATAATTTATTTTTCACTCGTCATGCCTGTCCAAAAAGCGGATACATTTTTAAGGAACTTTTTATTAAAAGTTCAAGCTTACTACCAAATTCTTCTTCTATTTCCGCAGTTCTAACACATTCTAAGTTCACAAAGAATTCTAAAATTTTCAATAAAATTATTGCACAGAAACCTTACTAGAGGTAAGAAAGCTTCTGAATGAAGCCGAAGTTTAGAAAAGCATTCTTCCAATTCATGCATTCATTAGGGGGAACTTTGGATAAAAAAAATTTTAAACAATTCTTTTTAGCTGAAAACAGGTTTATTGTCACCATGCTGTGTCAATTGATCATACTACAGCTTCCACAAATGTAAGAAAAAATTGATGCCATTCTATATAAATTAGAGAACTGGAGTCACATTTTTGCAAAAAATTGGCCTAAAAAGTTTCTAGCTTAACACTCACCAAAGACTTCAGCAGGAACACAGTTTCTTTCAAAACGCTAACTGACTGGCCTCTCCCAACTAATTCCTGGTAAACCGTCACAGCTTTAGTAATAAATCCATATAAAATTGGTATATAAATGAGTCCAATTTGCACATAGAAAAACGCCCTTATGTTCGATACAATGTCGTATAGCTCTTCGTATGTTCGCATGAAAAAGCCCATGTGAAAATAATTGGCTTTTCCTCGAGGATGGGACAAGGAAGCTGAATAGTTTTCTATCAACAATTTGCATAATTCTTCAAAGTGACTTAGTAAAATCCAACGCTGAATGAGAGTCAAGTCCAGCAAAATATGTTGTCCCGATTTGCTCAAAGCCTGCAAATCCAGGCGATGGAAAAAATCTATTAAATCAATAAGGCAGCAGAATGTTAAGCCTGGAATCAGTTTTTTGTGGCACCTGCAGGTGCACCTGGCTTCAAATTCCTTGCTCAAAACATTCTCTAAACGGTTGAGAGAAAAGTAGATTTTTATGTACTTCCTTCTGTGGAGAAATACTGCGGAAACCATGCTGTAAGCGTTAATCAATGCGGAAGTGGTCAATTCTGCTGCCTTCAGCGCTTCAGAGATTTTCCAGTTATTGATCAATTTCCAAAAAAGAAAAATATGCCACGCAATCATTAGCAGAATAATCAGGACACTGTACCAAATATAAATCATCCTCAACCCTCGGTAACTGATTATATTGGAAAGAGACATAAACAAATTATTATGTGCTATTACACAAATCTTGATTTTAAAATTTACTTATATGGATATTAGATTTATTAGTCAGTCGAATACTGTCTTTCTAAGCAAAACAAAAATTAGATTTTGTCAATGTCGGTGTCAGAGCTATGTAAGTATACGTCTCTATGTCATCTCTATATTACACGTCATGGACGAATAGAAATGGCGGCGCTTAAGTGAACCACCCATGGTTGCCTCTGGTGGAACGTCGAGGTACGAGGGAAGGGCGTTGGCCGGGGGTTGTACTGACGTCGAGAGTATTAAAATTAAATAAAGGAGTTGTTTATTAGTTTAAACGGCCTTTTTACTAATACCGAACCGTGTACTCGTGGTAAAACGGGTAGTTTTGCGACGGGGCACCCGACAAACGGTTTATCAGTGATGTGATATCCGGGGTGTGACAATTCAGCCCTTTTCCGTGATTGACATTAGAGACAGGAGACAACTGCTGCTTGTCTTTATCCACAAAATATCCCCCCAAACCCCAAACATAGGGGATATGTTCTGTGGTCTTTATCTATGTTTATCTCTGGTTACGTGCATCACGTGTTTTTCGAAAACTTGAGAATATTAAAAATCCATATTAATCGATGCGATAAAATAAATATGAGTCAAAATGTAAAAACCGTGCTTGTGGCTCAGTGTTATGATGTGCCTTCAAGAGGGTAATTACGGTATAATTATGGCTTAAAACCCCGCAAACATGTAAAGGTATGTTAGTGTTGAAAATAAATACATTTGATTATTTTATTATTTCTTGTTCTAAACATACAGGTGATACTGCTGTTCTGGACTTGAAGCATTGAAGACGTTAAGTATCACATGAGAAAACCACACACGAAAAATGTTCGCATAAGATACGGCAAAAACCTAAAGGTATGTTAGTGTTTAAATTAAACACATTTGATTATTTTATTATTTCGTGTTCTATACTACAGGTAATGTCGCTGTTGTGGACTTGAAGCATTGAAGATGCTAGGCATCACCAGATCTCCAGATCCAGTGAGAAAACCACACACGAAAAATTTTCGCATAAGCGACAAGTAAGGTTGTCTGAACCTAATTATTCTTATATTAATGTAAAACTATTATCTGTATTTTTCATTTTTACCAGTTTGATTTTGGTTGATTTCTGTTTTGCGATAAGCATGTTTTCTTGGATCGTAGGAAAGCAACAAAAGTAAAATGAAAGTAATGTATCAATGCAAATTGCTATACCTAATTGTATTTCTACACAATAGAATAATCTGTGGATGAACGAAAAAACTCTCCTATCAATGTAAAACTATTAACTGTATTTTGTTGTGACCAATATCAAAATTTGTAATTGCTAATAGAATTTTTGTTAAGAGCATATTGCAAAACACTTTAATTGATCGAGAACAAAATGAAAGAGCAAAAGCCACAGAGCGGGAATATGTAAGGAATATAAAATAATAAGTGCAGTTTTTTAGATAATCGTTTGTGTTTTATCTCACAGTCACATATCATTGCGACAACGGCAAATGCTCAAAATGTTAATTTAGATTTTTAGTCCGTATTTATAAGTCATATTTTAATTTATTTATTATCCATTTAATTAGTTTTAGATTACTTGTCAGTAACTCTTGTTGTTGAAAAATTACATCAGTAAATACCATATGTGAATAAACTAATAAGATGAAATTAAGGATCGTTTTTCTTTCGTTACATATATGTATGTATATTCCCTGAACAAACCATATACATTCACTGAACATACCATGTACATTCCCAGAAAATACACATGCATATTCACTGAACATACCAGGTACATTCCCAGAACATACGCATGTACATTCACCGAACATACCCTGTACATTTCCAGAACATACCATGAACATTCAGTGTATTAACTCTGACAGATTCCTGGGACATACATGGAATGTTCATAATGAAACTCATGTATCTCCCAGGAATAGGCATGTACATCACATGAATGTTCCAGGTATATTCTGGGAATATTATTTTGCTATGTGGGATCTTCACCATCTTGCCCATAGATACGAAAGAGTGCACAAAGATTAGGTAAGAAAACATGAACAATACCAAAAAAAGACCCAGCAAAAATGCTGAATACTGTGCTAAATATTGATTTAGGAAAAAGATTGCTACCGAGGCAGCAAAAAAATGAATAATGATCGTAATTTAGATTTGAGTATAGAAAAGTGTAGCTTGTTTAATCACCTCGATAATGACGACCCGGAAGAAAATCGAGAGGAAAATATGCATGTTCCTATAATTATTGAGCATGAAATGGCGGTACAGCAAATGGAGCAGGATTCTGAAGGTTTTTGAATTTATACAAAATGGACACGGTGGTCCAACCTTTGTTTTTGTGTTGTGTGTGTTTTCTTGTTGTAAATAAAGATTTTGTTCAAATATGGGGTTTCATTTTAGAAAAATCGTCAATGTCATCGTCACCTAGTGCATAAAATATATCTAGATATCTGATATATCTGAAATAACTTTAAATTTCTGGAATATCTGATGTAAATGTCAAATAAATACATATAAAAAAATATTTCTTAAATATCTGATTTAAATGTCAAATAAATAATAAAGAAAATATATTTCTTAAATATATGATATAAATGTAAAAAAAATATTTAAAAAATGCATTTCTTAAATATTTGATATAAATGTAAAACAAATATTTAAAAAATATATTTCTTATAAATGTCAAATAAATGCATTTCTTAAATATCTGATTTAAATGTCAAATAAATATTTAAAACAAAACTTTCTTAAATATATAAGAAACTGTAGCGTCAGACCTACATTAAATATTTGGAAAAAATATTGCTGTAATGTTTGTGTGCTATCAGGGTCAGAAGAACGCAATTTTCTCAAGTTTTTATGGATTGATTCTAGCGGACATCAAATTGTTTATCAGCATCAACGAGTGGTTCTTAGCGAAAACAGCAGCCCATTTTTTCTTGGGGATACTTTGGACCACCATTTGAGTAGAAGTTTGGACAATTTTGATGGTGGCACAGCCAACTATTCAAAGCAGACGATTGAACGTCTAAAAAGAAGTTTCTACGTGGATAATTGTGTCACGAGTGTGGGAAATGAACAGTCCGTAAATCAATATTTCAGAGAAGCGACTATGGTCATGACCAAGGGGTTATTCCAGCTTAGAGGGTGGGAGCGCACCTATAGTGCAAATCTAGAGAATTTCGAATTAGTGGAAACTTGTCCAGTTCTGGGACTAAGTTGGCATCCTCAGAAAGACAGTCTGAGCATTCATGGCAGTTTCTTTGAAGATATCAGTATGGACACTTTGGTGGTGACAAAAAGATAGATACTTTTACCATACTCTCTATGGCTCAGAGGGTTTTCGATCCGGTAGGTTTTGTGACTCCGGCCATTTTAACACCGAAAGTTTTGTTACAGAAGATATGGGAAAAAAATAGTTCTGGGATGAACCAGTTGATAACGACACAATGAGCAAGTTCAAATGGTGGGTCAGTGAGTTGCCTTCCTTGTTACGTATTGAGATACCACGTTGGATTATGGCTGGAGTTGGAGAATCAGAAAACGCAAGTTTACATACATTTTGTGACGCAATTATAGATGCCTACGCCTGTGTAACCTTTTTGCGTATTGTACGAGCCGGGCTGGTAGTTGTATTCTAGTAGCCTGCAAGTATAGACTCGCCCCCATAAGAAAGTCTGGGTCCAAAATGACAATCCCTCGATTGGAACTGCTAGCAGCCACCATAGGATCCCGCTTGTACTCAAGTTTGAGTGTTAACTGAGAGCAGAAAATACCAACATATTTTTGGAGTGATCGTTTAACAGTTCTAAGTTGGATTCAGCGGAGAGAAGAATGGGGTGGTTTCCTTTGAAATAGGGTCAACGAAATACGAGATTTGACAGCGCCAGAGGACTGGCGTCATTTACCAGGTTCTTTAAATCCCGCCGATTTGCCTTCACGAGGCTGCTTTCCAAAGGAATTGTTTGAGCTAAGATGGTGAGAGGGCCCAACACGGTTGTATGAAGATCGATTAACTTGGCCCTCTACGACAGGTAAGAAAGAAGAGCAAGAAACTTGTGACCACCCTAAGCAATTTTGAACAATCCAGTTTCTTCCAATTTGGGTATTCTTCTCTTTTTACGAAGACTGTAAGACAGTTTGGATGGAGTTTAAGGTTTTTCCACAACTGTAGACGTTTATCAGTTCATAACCATTCTTAAAAATTATTCATGAAATATTTTTAACTTTTTAACATTAGTGTAACGCATAGGTAACTGAAGAGCTCAGCTAATCTCAGACGCCTCCACAGACACGCGATAATGTATAATCCTTTGCTTACAACACACAGTAAAATTCTGTAAGGCCGCTGGGTAGACGCAAGTCACCACGTCGTCCAGTCCATAATTGGTGGTGGTATGTCAATGGTCCAATGTCAAATGTGAAGTGCATGACTATCATATATGTCATTGATCGTGGCACGTTTATCTTGCATGATGCCATTACGAGAACTATTTGCTTCATGTTGTTACTGGAAATTCTGGTGTCCCAATAATGGTGCAATTAGAAGAAAAGTGTAGACCGATCGTCAGTAGAATACGAGTAAGTAAACAGTTGCAAATGGTCGGATTTGTGTCGAGCAATCAGAACAAATAAACCATCTGGCATTATTATTTCCGGTCATGACGTCGTTTTTGACCGGCGAAATTTCGGTGTCTTTGTACTTTATAAGTTCAGTTTCTTGATCGATATCGACTAATTGCAGGATGGTTGACTTTTCTTGAGAATTCGGTGTGGGCAGAGGTGAAAAAATTTTTAGCTACCAAGCTTACGTACAAATTAATTATGAGCTGAGGCACTGCACAACTTAATTGTTTAATCCATGACAAAGAAATTATGACTAAACAATAACTAAAAGATTAAATATTTCATCAAGTTGTACAAAAAATTATTCTGGAGAGTTCCCGGCCGGTATCGACAAACAATTAGCACCCTGAGGAAGGGGACAGTAAATTGCCGAAAGCTTGGTAGTTAAAAAAGTTTTTCTTTTTCTTCACCACTGCCCAGACCGAATTCCCAAGAAAAATCAACCATCCTGCAACTTGTACTTTATGTCTGTCGGACGGTCGCGTTTTTTTTTAAACTTTTCCTTTAAGTATATTTAAAATAAAGTAGTTTCTGCGAAAAAATGCCTATTGTCCAGAGAATGATGCGAGAAAACATTTACAAACTTGGTGATTGTGTCGTTTGAGTCCCTCCGAGTTTTTTTGTTTTATCTCACCAAATTTGAGGAAAATTACCATTTTTTGGCTAAATTTCGAGTGTGTAAGTTTAAATTTTTTGTAGGTCGATCTAAGACTTGCTCACTGAAACTGTTTAATATGAAATATAATACTTTAAGAACCGAGAACAAAGGTGTTTCTTTATAATTCGAATTTATAGTTCTTTATATTGTTTATATTTTTATATTAATAGTATTAATATTAATAATTCGTATATTAATAGTTTTCGATCAGTATGAAATTATTTCTGAAATTAATATAATTTTAAATTTTTTCCTAAAAATGTTGTATAAAATAACAAATACAGGGTGTCCCACCGGGGTAAACACCACCCCACAGGGTAAATTTAAAAATTGAAAAATCTGCCGAAGTCTTTGGGGGCAAGCGATTTAAAATATTTTCAAGATGGCCACACTTCCGGTTATAACGAAAGTATTACCGGAAGTAGTATTACATTTTTAAATTCTACTCCAAATTCTAAATATATTTCTTGTATAACATCCTATCATCATCAATTTTCAAATTTCTCTTAATTACAGTTTAACAGATATCAATCCAGGCGGTTCCCGGCGGGACACCCTGTAGAAAATACATATCAGATAACAATTTTAGTTTGGAAATTTGCTTTTTCAGGATTGGCAGTGCTCTATTACTGACAATTAGCCAGCTTATTAGAGGCGAGGTGGCTGTTTGGTATGCTACTATGTATTTCATCTCACAAGTTGGTTTGTTTAAGTGTTGTCAAACTAATGAAGTTTTTTACCTCCATTTTTAATCGGTCATTTTTCTTGCTGCCACAAAATTTTGGTATTTTATTTGGTAAAATGTTACTACATATCAATATTGGAGGAATTATTCAAAATTAATTAAAAGTGACATTCTTCTCTAAGTTTCTCTCGCTCAAAATTGGCAACTTTGGAGTTCAATAAAACAAACTCATAAATGCAAGGTCAACCGGTTAACCTTTTTCCAAATAATTACGACCTCCTCCGTAAATTTATAAGCTAATTGTTAATCTTGTAGGTACTGCTGTACGTTTTTATTAATTAACATGTATCTGGTGTATAAAATAGTGAGACCTTTTCTTTTTGGGAGAGCATGAGCAACTTCGGAGTCATTCTTCAACAAATATTCCATATAAAACAATTAAAAATTTCTAACACTAGCAATTAAAATTGATTTTTTATAATATGAAATCTGAAATAAAAAAATTCAGGTATAGCGAAGTTAATGAAATAAGTTATCATTCGTTACAACACCAGTTTTTGTGAAAAAACGGACCGCTGCAATAAAACATTTTTTTTCACGCAAACCATGTTATAGTTGTCCAAAATGTCAGTTAATTTAATTAACAACAAACAAACAGGCTTATCAAGCAAACTTCTCTTGGTTTTTAGGTTTCTGTTTTGGAAATTGAACTACTTGGAATGCTTAATAAATTAAGTAGTCAATAACAATTAAATTATTCCCGTTTAACGTAAAATATACAGGGTGGCCATTTTCTGAATCTTAGTATGGGTAACTTCTACTATATTTCTGCTATATTTTTAAAGATAGAGAATCCGTTAAATGGGCAGAACTTGATTGCCTATTTATTACCGTTTTCAAAATGTAGGCCCCCCCACTTGGTTCCCGAAATATCCTGAAAAGGCAAGAAATCAACACTTAATTATCACATATTTCGTAAACTACTAACTTAACTTGAAAAAAAGTTACAATTGCCTTTGGTAGAACTTTTTGCGTTGAATTCAATAAACTAGCACTCGTCATAGTCAAATTGATTTACGAGATAAACAATCAACTCATGTTTTTTAACTGGTAATCATAGTTGGGTGGGCCTTTTAAAATCCTTATTTTTTTCTGAATTTAACGATATAACTGTTTGTACGTTTATCTCTTTTTTTAACCGTTAAAATTAAAAAGAAAAACATTAACAAGCATCTAGCAGTAATCAGCCCTGTGCTGTATCACTCACGTTAACTTTAACGTGCATGTTATCCGTCAAACACGTTATGTGGCTCCAACTGGTGTGTTGTATCAGTAAAACCTTTATATTATAACAGGCGCACGCTATTGACGAACGTTATATTAAGAAATAGCGCTTCAGAATAACTATGTTTTAGCTATGTTTTTAATGTATAACAAAAATGTGTCTTTTGGTGGTCTCCTAAGGTTAGCTTTATTAGAACAAGTAAATGGTCTTGAAAATACACTTTATTTTCATCCACAAACTCAACTAAATTTTCAAATTGCTTGCGGGTTGTTTTTTTTTCTTCTCCTGTACATGCTCCATTGAAAGTGTTTGAGAAGAAAGGTCAAGAACAATAAAGAACGAAATTGAAAGTGAATGCAAATTACAAAGACAAGTAGGGTAGTAGGCAACCCAAATGGTCAAAACGTGCACATGTGGTGGCGGTTCATATGTTTTAGAAGCTTCGATGGTTTGATGTTAACTCTCTCTCTAACTAATAGACTATTTGTATAAGGGCATCTCACTTTATGCATCCTATATTTTTGTCCGTTTTAACGTTCGATGGATAACTGGGTCGGAAACGCATACGTTAACTGGGAGATAGAGCACACCTCGGTTGTGTTGTTGCGTTATCGAAAATGTTATCCTGAACTGTTAAGTCGCCATAACGTGTGGCCGTTAAAAATAGCATTTATGATACAGCACAGGGCTGATTGTCACGAAATGGTTATTTTACTTTATTTTACTTTTTGTTGTAGTTTGAGTTGATAAATGCCATTAGTTAAAAATATTTTTGTTGCTAAGTAAATACGATGCATTTTGTTAGCAAAGAAACGGGAAAATAAGTTCTACCCAAGAAAATAATGACATGCTATTCTGTTGCTATACCGGTAATAGAATTACATAGTAATATGGCTATCAGTCTATATTTGGACCAATACATGGAGAGGAGACAATCAGACAAACAACTTTTTCCACGAGTGGAAGCCAACTTGAAAAAATGCTGATCATTTAAAAAGCGAATAAAGGGAAAGATTAAATTTTAAGAACAAGATCAAGAAATCATTTTAACTTACACTCATTTTAATCCAAATCCATCAATCAGATAAACTGCCAGTGAATATAATGTTTCAAAGGAAAGATGCTTGTTTGATTCTAAAATAAAATACATTCAAGCCTTTCAAGTACCTTATTGCAAGTACTATGCATCTCGATATTCTGGACAAATACTTCAGTTTGTCTAGGTAGTTTAGTAGGGTTTGCTAGAGCTATTAGATTTAAAGTTTTCCCTCGCCATTTTATTTACTGACAAATCTCGGTTGACTAACAATGGAATATTTAACAGACACAATCATGTTTACTGCGCTAATGAAAATCATCATGTAATTGAAAATAGGCGAGATCATCGTGTTTTTTGTGAATGTCTGGTGAGGCATTTTTAGTGATGAAATTATCCATTCTTTTATAATCACAATTTAAATGCGAAAGACATTTATACGTTTTACCAAATTAACTTAGGCATGTAGGATAGTTTTCCGTTAGCATCGTATCGAAAATTGGCATGTTTTCATCAAGATAGTGCACCTTCACACAACTCACGAGTTGTATGTGAAGATGCCAAAAAATGCCTGGACGTAAACGAAAGTCAATTTGAACATTTAATTTAAACGATTCATTATTCCATTTTTGATTTGTGCTTTGTGTGATTATATAGTTCTTGTTTCCATAGCCTACTACACATTTTTTAGCTTCTTTTGAAGTTTTACGGCAACCAACAGGAGAAAAACACACAAACAATTGTATCGTTAAATTCAGAAAAAAATATGGATTTTAAAAAGCCCACAGCCAACTATGATTACCATTTAAAAAACCATAAGTTTATTTTTTATCTCGTAAATCAAGTTGACTATGACAACGAGTGCTTGTTTATTGGATTCAACGCAAAAAGTTGTACTAAGGGCAGTTTTAACTTTTTTAAGTTAAGCAGTTTAAGTGATATGTGATAATTAAAAGTGTTGATTTCTTGTCTTCAGGATATTTCAGGAGCCAAGTCGGGTACCTAAATTTTGAAAACGGTAATGAATAAGCAGTCGAATTCTGCCCAATTTTGCCCTTTGAACGGATTCTCTATCTAAAAATGTAAAAGTTACCCATACGAATATTCAGAAAATGGCCACCCTTTATACGTAGATGTTTATAATATTTTTTTTCGTTTTTTGTCTATCAGTGTATATTACTTTCATATTCCCTAAGTCTTAAAGCGTATCTTCTTGTACATTAAATGGAACGAGATATTTTCGTAACTGAAAAATAGAATTTGGGCTATTTAGGAACAAGGTATAACCAAATAAAAATAGGATTTATAACGGAAATGTATTTATTAAAATAATTAATAATAAAGAAAAATATTTACTTTTGTTTTTTGTTGATAGATCGTTTTGAAACAGTGTTATGTATGCAAAATGTATTTATTAAATTAATCAATAATAAAGAAAAATATTTAATTTTGTTTTTTGTTGATAGATCGTTTTATGTATGCAGGGTGGTCGTAAACTAATGTGACAAAATTCACTGACATATTGTTTAGGCAAAAATATTGCGTTTCAGGCAAATTGGTCTTATTCGAAAGTTAATAGCTTTTGAGGTACGGGGTGTCAAAGTCTAAACATGGTTTTCGTTTCTTCTCAATAGATTTTTACTACTACCAAAATGCGATTGGGGGTTATTTATCGTATCGACAAATCCAAATTTTCTAAGACCTGGCTTGTAGTTCTTAGAGCTTCTAGCTGCAATAGTCTTACAACATCCGAACTGTTTTGGGTGTCCAAATGCCGCTATTAGGTTCGCAGTGTCAATTTCTAAACAAAAAACGTGTATTTGTTCCAAGTCGATATCTCACCGTTTTCGAGACATTTAACATTGAAACCTTAAGTGATTTTTTGTACTTTTTTGAGGTAACTCAAATTGGATCTCGAAATAAAATAAATATTTTGCTGAAATTTTCAATAAACGAAACTTAACGAACATTAAACCGTATTTATTTGGGCACGTTATGAGCCAATGTAAACTCAGCAAATACTTCAGTCCACTAGTACTCTACTCCAATATATTTATTAACTTTTTAATAAATTACTGTCGTATTGAAAAAAAATAATTGTTTTTCGGACGTCTTCTGCAGCATTTAAAATCATCTTGCGCACAAAAACAAAGCAAATCGCTGATTTTTTCATTGGAATATAAATCTTATAACTGCATTCAATTAATAATTAATAGAACTGCAACGCAATCAAGGGTAGACGGTTTGTGTAAAACATTAAAATACCGCAAAATGTAAGAATAGCCCCTATTGCAGCCGTGTTACCGAAATATTTTAATTTGGCTAAACGTTTTAACGTCTAGCCGAATTTGCATTAGTACACCTTGTTGAAATAGTGGTCTTTGAAAATGAATCTACTCTTTCCATTCAACTTAAAATAGGTTATAGGGCGTTTTGGGTATGCGACCTTGTAGAAGACAGGGGAGCCAATATCTCAATTTCAAAATTTTTGACATAGCGGGTTTTGCCTATGGGCCACTCATGTGAAATAATAAAATTTGACTCTTGAATTGAACTGCTTAAACAGTATCACCATTCAGATGTGGACCTTAGTTTCAAAGTATTTCTTTCTGTGTTATATCAGTTTGAAGGTATGATCAACAATTGGTTCGTAATTGGTTGTTGAATTATTGATTTTTGATTTTCAATTAATTTTTGCAGCTGTTCCATATTACTTTCTTTAGGACAATCTGGCTTCAATACACGGCTGCTAAGTACTACCTGACACTAACTACATCAATTTCTAATTGGAGAGCGATATAACTTTGAATTTAATATAACTAATTAGATAAACCAGTTGGGAATTGAATCGACTAAAATGGAGTTAGATATTTGTGCGAAAAGTTGGCAGATTTATACGTTTGAGCATTTATCTTCGAATCTGCCTGTTAGCGATATAAACTATTATCCTGAGTGGAAACATCAACGAAATGATGAATATGAACTTTTAATTCGAAACTAATTTTTAAATGCATTTTTATTTTGTCTACGTAGTACAAATTATCCATTTTAAATTTTTTCTTCTAACATTAGGTGATATTAAAATGTACGCCGTATTTTCTGATATACCTCGTATACGAATGACGACGAAAATCTCTTTCGTAAAATTAGTAAACATTTTCCATATGGTGCGAACTTAAGTAGACACACGTATCCTATACTGACATTATGTGGATGGTATCTTAACTTACACTTACATTTCAATTGGCAGTTTTATATTTTTTGGTCGGATAGTTTTAGCTTT